TTTAGTAACGCATTTGCTGTCTTATGATCGTCTATGTAAAAACAAGCGTCAGTTCTTGTTTTTTTGTACTGCAAATAAATTTTTGCTTTAACTACATAATTTTATAGTTTTAAATCAGTTTTTATTTACATGTGTACATTTATTACTGTATACCAGGATTGAGTAAGTTAATTTTTTTTTAACTAAATTAAGTTAATGTTAACAGCCTTGAAAAGCTTTAATTTAATTAAAATACAAGTTATAATTCATAATGAAATTAATTGAATTAAAAGTTAAGTTAATAAAAAAAGTAATTGAAAAGTTAAATTTGATCCAAACGAACCAAAAAAAAAAGAAAAAGATTGGCCATTTTACATAATTTTTTGTATTTTTCCTTTCTCACAACATATTTATTAAAGAATCTGGTTATTTTTGTTTACAAGTAACGATTATACAATATAAAATTACTAAATTATATACTATCCTCTCGCATGATGTGTCCGAGGATTGACTTAAAAAAAATCAAATTAAAAGTTAATAGTTACCGATAAAATGTAACTAAGTCAAAATTAATTAACTTTTTAATTTTTTAACTTAACTTTTATCTTTTTAACTTAGCACTACCCAATCCTGCTATATATGATTTGAATTTTATTGATATTTATCCATACATTATATTAAGGAATGAGAGGAATTAGAGGTATTAAGACATATATTAAATAAAAAATATATATTTCTTCTAAAAAAAAACAGATATCACATACCATTATAGGAATGAATACTTTAGGTGCTATATAATTCAAAAGGGTATTTATAATATAATCCTTTTCATACTTATGGCCATATGGTATCTATAAAATACAAATAGAAATTTATTTCCAATCTACACATACTGATACATGAGTATGATTTATAATTATAAAAAAAATATACTCACATTAATTCTATATCCATTAGATTCTCTCAAAGGAAGAGATTGCATCCTAGAATTTGATTGATCTCCCTTAAAATTCCTTCCTTGAATCCCTTGAAATTGAACTCCTTTGAAATTGGGCACAGAATTGTTTCCCCCACGATAAACAGTACGCCGAATCCTACCGCCTCTTTCTCTATCTCTCTGGTTGATTATCATTTGTCTTGTATTATCATTAGACGTCATTGGAATGTCGTTGTCCAAATTACGGGATATTAAATTGCTAGGTCTATGAATCCTGAACGATACATGATGCTTGATGGGACCAACATGAAATCTTCCATCTCTTCCTACAGGTCTTTCTATTCGATCATTATGATCTAAGAATAGGTAATAAGAATAAAGCAATAAAATTATTAAAAAATGATTATTTTTGTCATGAAAAATTCATTTCGAACAAAATTCATCTCTTTAATGTCCAACAATTGTTGATTATTACTCTTCATAAAGTTCTCACAATCTAAAAAATTCATAATTGTGTAGATAATCTGGAATAATACAGTTATATACATACACACACACACACGCACACACACACACACATATATATATATATATATATACAAAATGTTGTGTAAAATATCTTATAGCACTTAATCTTATTATTATATTACTACTATTATTATCATTATGCAGCAAGTGTTACAAAAATAAGATGCAACATAAAAGAGTGGTACAAAATAAATATATCAAATAAATATAAAAATTTTTGAATCACATGTTAAAAAATTGCATAAATGTGGTAATAAATATAAAAATGTTCGTTATTATTTGATCATAGTCTTATATTCACAGTTTAATATGACCAGATATTTTCAGCTCTAAAGTGAGACAACTTTATGATTTATTAATTCTTTTTCCGTCTGAGATCTCGGAACAATTTCTATCATCATGTGTTAAAGTATTTATTTATTTTGACGAAATCGTTTATACTTTTGATATAAAAAAAACAAATTCAGCGTGCTTTTTTTTTCTCGAGTAGTTCTCTTTCCATGCATCGCTCGATTGATTTTCTCAATCCACATTATCAAAAATAAATTACATGAATCTGTTTTTTTCTTACTAACGATTTTGTTAGTAAAAAAAAGATACAAACGCATACAAATGTTGAAGTTATGCAGGAATTATGAATGTCAAGACACAACGAATATTGTTGAGATATGCGAAATAGGTGCACATCAAAGAATGCATTCCATTTCACGTATTTTAATACGAATGATATATCACTCTATCCTTGTTATTGACGAAATATTAAAGAAAATCATGCGCAAAATGGAAAGCACTCTTGGACATACATCCCAAATCATATGTAACGAGTAAAAAGGCTGAAAAAAAGTACACACCGAAGTAAGCCTTGTCCTCGTGTCCTCGGTTGCGACCGTCCCACGGCTTGTTCATCTCCTTCGGCATTTTCTTTTTTGCGTTTTTCTTTTATTTTTTGAAATAAGAAAACAAGCGAAAGCTCTTTTAACTCGCACCATACGCACAATTTTTACTTCACGACACGTATCTTTCGAAGATAAATAACAAAAGGATAATTTACATCACCATACTCATACTCCTTAACCTCCATTAACCTCGTACAACTTCGACTTTCCAAAGCAAAACATGAGGTTTGTTTTCTGTGGCTGAATTAGTGTACACTTTTGGAACTTAAAGTGAGATACATATTCGATATTTGTTTAAAACGAGAAGGAGAGTTCTAGAACAGTTTAGTGCAGGAATAGAAAACAGACTATTGGTTTGGTTTAGCCCGCTTAGTTTAAAGGTGTCTTTTCATACTGACGCTCGACGCTCATTTTCAGCGTCAAAATGGCTGCGTTCAGCAGAATGTTTATTTTATAACTGTTAGAAGCTTTCTTTGCGCTGATTGGATTATGCTTTTAGATCAAGAGGAATCTATCTCAGCAGAGAATCATAAAAACGGTTGCAAAATTGGGCCTCTATTCTTCAGCATATGAATAATTTTCGCATATGAAAATGACAGTTCCTCGATTGTGATTGGTCGATTGTATACGGAATTGTTATTTTCGTATGCGATATTTGTTCAAGAAGGGCCTCTGTTGTACTCTGCTGAACGCAGCCATTAAGTCACGTGATAAGATGCATTTTCATGAGCTGTTCAAACCATGGATGTATCAATATCTATACGTCCATGCCTACTGCCTACTATTTCAGCTAGGTTATTACCACTTTTTAAATTTTATTTTTCTTGTAATGGCTGTGATCATAATCTCGCTTTAAAGCATTTGATGAACCAATTAGAAGAAAGAATTTTACAAACCGACTAGTTAAAAACGCTTCAAAGCGTTTGCAGCATCGCATGACCGTACTCAATATCCTATGTTACTGCTCAAAAATTAATATCTCCTATCCGCCATATTGTTCGCGCATTTTTCTGATTGGATGTTAGTATCGTCGTAAGTTACTCGCGTTAGGGACTCCGCACAATAAAAGAAACAAAGAAATCGATTCTGTACCTTAAAACGAGGTAAAAATTACAAGAGTGAGCGAATTTACTAAAATACTAATAATTTCATTGGTCAATATTTAATAATTTGCTTACTTTTATAATTTTCACCTCATTTAAAGACACAATCGATCCCCTGTAACTTTTTAACGATAATTTTACTAGCTAGGAATGTCGTTGCGCAGGTATTTTATATGGCGAAGATTAAAGAAAAAACAAAATAACAATAACACATAACGTTATAATTTTCTACTCAATAATGTTACTGTTATGCATATTACATTGCATAAAATATTGTAACATTAAATTAACATTATGTTTTTTGTGTTTCCTGAAAAACAAAAAATATATTTTTATTATAAATATAAATTATTATATTATATAATTTCTGTTCTTCCTACTATTAACTATGAGTTTATTAAATGTTGTATTATATTTATAATAAGTATTTGAATTATTTATTTTATACAGATTAGATTTTTTTCTGTTACTTTTTATGAAATTTGTAATACTCATTTTTAATGAGATTAAATAAAGATTAAAGAAAAAAGTATAAGTACATTCTTTTTAATATATTTCTATTTTATATCTACTGAGTTATTTTCGATATGTATTACAAATTTACAATTACAATATTTTTTCTATTTTCTAACAGTTTTAGAAATTTCTTGAAAAAAAATTCTATCGCTTTAAGGCCTTATTGTACCAACATTAATTTTAAGCGTGGCTTAAAATTCTTTCCCTTTCTGTCTCTCTATCGACTTTAAAAAAAGAAAAAAAGATTTTGAAACTTTGCTTAAAGCATCAACAAGATAATATTAAAGACCGTCAACCCTGAGTAAATTTTTAGCGGTATATTTTTTATTATATAAATTTCCATAAATAAATGTGCATGTTTGTAAAGTTATAATATCTTATATATTACAGAAAAATTACAATTTTTTTCTCTGCAGTTATCATTTCTGTTAATAATTAAACTTTGATGATAACACTGAAATCACAATTTTAAAGAAGAATCGAGTATTATTCAGTTCTAAATGCATAAATACATCTAATAAACTAATAAAGTACAAAATTAATACAATATTATCAGTTTTTAACTCTTAATCACTTCAATATTCTCAAGGACGCAAACTCCCGTAAGAATGTCGATCGAATTGTCTTTAATAGTATAGTTGGAAACACAATGAAAAACACAGGCAATAGGAACAGGGAATAAGAGATTTCAATTTATCAGAAAGCGTCTATTCTATTATTCATAATTTCTGATAAGTTGAAACCTTTTATTCCCTGTGCTTTTCATTGTGTTTCCAACTTATCTCATCGGTGCTTAAAGTCAAAATAATGCAATCGGGACTAAAGGCTTAAACACAATAGGCACAGGCAATAAGCACAAACAACAGAAAATAACAAGCCGTCCAATCAGAGCTCTGGGATATAATATCAAACTTACACGCAAGAGCCTTAAGTTTCAAATTCTACTGCTTTTTTGGCGTACCATCTACCGTCCAATTTTTCAATCATCTAGCACTGTCCCCAAGACTCTATTGATAATATAATGGTTATGAAAATTTGTCCATTTGTCCGGATAATAGGTATCTCGTCAGTGTTTCAAATGCGATTTACAGTCGTTGAGCTGCATTGATTGCGTCATTAATTGTTGAATTCAGCGTGTGGAATATTTATTCGCTTCTCCGTCAGTTCCATCAAGTTCCATCAAGTTCCATCACGGAACCGCAGAACCGCGACGCATGTAGGGGTGAACTTGGGTAAACCGCAGCCGAACGGCTGTAGGCAGGTGTAAGTTGGAGAGGAGAGGAAAGTGACGCGAGCGTTACTTGAATTAAACCCGGCTTCGTAACCGACAATTGTCCCGATCGATTTCATTCGTTGACGCGACGCGGAAGCTTCGTCGTCGATCCACTCCATCATGGAAGCCCTAATACCTGTGATAAACAAACTGCAGGACGTGTTTAACACCGTCGGTGCTACCGTACTACAACTGCCGCAGATCGTCGTTCTGGGCACGCAGGTTAGCCGGAGTGTCCATTCGGCCCGCAGTCACTTGATACCAAACCGAAAACAGCAAATGGCAAATCCGCCCCTTTCATCTGGACTTTGTTACCTTCTCCGATTTTCAAGGTTAAACAAATGCGCGATCGAAATCTCTATCCGGTAGGAGAGAAAATTGCGAGAAGGTTCAATCGAAAGGAACGGATCTAACATTGGTTAACCGTCATTTGAATTTTCTTTGTTCTATTGTCATATCTTTTTTCTTTGTCATGAATAACGTGGTTATCTAGCTGTTAATTATAAGCTGTTTGCTATCTATTAGTGTTGTAGTAAGAAAAAATAATATTATATTTTGCAATGCATGAATCATACACTTAGGAATATCATATTTACCTTTGTGTAATCAGTCGACAAAGTCAAAATATTGTGATGTGCCTTTGGTGTACAATCTCAAAGGAATTCTGATCCTCAGCCAATATTCATAATTAGTTTTTATATGTAAGACAGTCTTAAGTAAAGTCCTGAAATATCGTAAGTTAATCACAGAGCTGTATTAATTATTTAAAATTACTACATTAAAACAATATTAAAATAAGAACTATGAATACAGGTCTTAGATCTGGCGTTTTATTCTGGAAAAATATTGTATACGAAAATACTAGTGAAATTTCTAATATACAAAATGTATACTATGGTATTTTCATATATTTTTATATGAAATATTTTTTGAGAATATAGCCTTTGTTCTTTTCAGATAAATTTATTGTACCATTCATTTTTCCTCTTTCTTGCTATATGTTGGAGAAAAAAGGATATAATAGAGGGTGCAAAAGTTTAGCTGAAAAAAAGAAACTACATATTCTTGATGAAAAGTCAAAAGAAGATCCGTTGTTGGATATATGGAATAAGAGCAAATATTGAATTTTTCAGAGTTCAGGAAAGTCGTCTGTAATAGAAAGCTTGGTGGGTCGTTCTTTTCTACCACGAGGGACTGGTATTGTCACGCGACGTCCATTAATATTGCAACTTATATATACACCCAAAGATGATCGAGAACATCGAAGCGCAGAAAATGGCACTCTGGACTTGGAGGAATGGGGAATGTTTTTGCATACAAAGAACAGGATTTACAGAGATTTCGACGATATTCGTACAGAGATTGAAGCAGAAACTGACAGAATGGCTGGAGCAAACAAAGGGATTTGTCCAGAACCAATTAATCTTAAAATATACTCGACGTCTGTCGTTAATCTGACACTTATAGACCTACCTGGTATCACAAAAGTGCCAGTAGGCGATCAGCCGGAGGACATCGAGTCTCAGATACGTGAGCTCGTATTAAAGTATATATGCAGTCCTAACTCTATAATTTTAGCAGTTGTCACTGCCAATACTGACATGGCTACAAGTGAGAGTTTGAAGCTCAGCAAAGACGTTGATCCAGATGGCAGACGAACGCTGGCAGTCGTTACAAAATTAGATCTCATGGATGCTGGTAAATTTACTTTTTTTTCCTTCTTGATATCTTTACATTCTCTCTTCAAATTTGTCAAAAAGCACAGGATCGATTATAACAATTATTAAATACATCTTTTTTTTTTAAGGGACTGATGCTATAGATATTCTATGTGGTAGGGTCATCCCAGTTAAACTGGGTATTATAGGTGTAGTTAATCGTTCTCAGCAAGACATAATGAATAACAAAAGCATTCAGGAAGCGTTGAAGGATGAAGCCACATTCTTGCAACGTAAATATCCAACGTTGGCTAACAGAAATGGCACTCCATACTTAGCAAAAACTCTTAATCGTTTGCTTATGCAACATATTAGGGATTGTTTACCAGAGTTGAAGGTAATAATATTAATAATAGAATTACGAGAGAGATGTAGCTAGAATCTACTAAAGTAAGCATAATTTAGTAGAACTTGTGTTTTTTTAAAACAGAACAGAGTGAACACAATGGTAGCGCAATATCAAACTCTACTTAATTCTTATGGCGGGGATGTCGAAGACAAAAGCCAAACTCTGCTACAGATCATCACGAAATTTGCAAACAGCTATTGCGCTACGATAGAGGGAACGGCAAGGAACATAGAAACCACTGAACTGTGCGGCGGTGCTCGCATTTGCTATATATTTCACGAGACGTTTGGTAAAACGCTCGATTCGATTAATCCACTGGCAGACCTCAGTAAAGTTGACATATTGACCGCTATTCGCAATGCAACTGGTCCGAGACCAGCTCTCTTTGTGCCAGAAGTCTCCTTTGAACTCTTAGTTAAACGGCAAATACGAAAATTAGAGGATCCTTCGTTACGATGCGTAGAACTTGTACACGAAGAAATGCAAAGTATAATACAGCATTGTGGCACTGAGGTGCAGCAGGAAATGCTGCGTTTCCCTAAATTGCATGAGCGTATCGTCGATGTTGTTACACAATTGCTACGTAGACGACTCCCACCTACCAATTCAATGGTAAACTATCCATTCTCTTTATATATCCATAATTTGTTCCTTATATAATGATTTAATTTTTTTTTAAAAAGGTAGAGAACTTGGTTGCCATAGAATTAGCATACATTAACACTAAGCATCCCGACTTTCACAAAGATGCAGCATTTGTGTCATCTTTATTGAAGGATGCCGATGTAGATCACCTGAAGCATAATAAACGATTAACTTCAGCATCTAGTACTATAATCACCAATGATACGGTAAATAATCTCTATTTAATGTTCTTATTGAAATTTACCAATTTTTTTTGTGCATTGAGAAAGTTACTGTGTTTCAAGGATTTAAATGTGATTAGCAACATTTATATGTTCGTCAATTTATTCGTTATTTTATCCATTTCAACTTTTTTACGCTGTGTTTGCTATTTATAGTAAAATATATTTGTAACAGATTGTAAAATCAGTCAATAATCAAGATGAGATGAACTCTGTTTCTGATCAGACTAAGGAACAGCAAGGACAGCAAAATCACTGGCTGCTAAGTAACTTACTACTTCAGGGAAGAACGGAGTCAACGAGTTCCGCAGATGGTTCTCCGATCAGGATACGTGAAAACAGTAACTCCCCAAATCCGAGCATGAATCCAGTGATCGAATTACAGAAAGCATCCCCGCAACAGAAGCCAGTAAATTTACTCCCTGCAGTACCAATACAGACATCCCGAAAACTTAGCGATCGTGAGCAACGGGATTGTGATATTATCGGTAAAGAAATATGTCATATTGAACATCATTATGTTTATTCCACACTTGCGTAGGTAGTAGGTAGGTTCTAAGTGATTATAGTTGTAGTTGTAAGAATTGTCTAAACAGTTGAATATTCTTCTCGTATTCGGCTGTGTTTGTTGAATTTTTACCCAACCACTTACGCAATTATAAAACAGACTTTATATTAATAGACTTTAATTTTAATCTTTTCTTATTTGCAGAAAGACTCATAAGATCATACTTTTATATTGTACGAAAGTCTATTCAAGATAGTGTACCAAAGGCTGTTATGCATTTCCTAGTCAACTATGTGAAAGATAATTTACAAAGTGAACTTGTCACACATTTGTACAAATCAGATCAGGCTGAGGCCTTGTTGATTGAAAGTGAACACATTGCTGTTAGGCGTAAAGAAACAGCGGACATGCTTAAGGTATTTTTATTTGACATAAAAAGTTAAATATACGCTTTTTTATAATAATTGAACTCTAACAATTACTCTAATTTTACAGGCATTGACTCAAGCAGGTCACATTATTAGTGAAATTAGAGAGACACACATGTGGTAATTAAATGCCTAAACTTTACATCTGGATTCTAGTTGAATTTAGGTATTGCATCTCTGTGTTTTAATCAACTGGATGTACTTTACCAATGTATATGATGAATCATTGTATATAATTCTTGTCTTTCTCATGCAAGTAAGGTATCACTATTGAAAAGCAATGGTCTTAATATATTATGTCACCTAGTTTTATAGTATGAGCATGAAAGAGGCATAACATCGTACTTAAAATGCGCATTTGTGCGCAACCATCTTATTATTTGATTCACAAGAATTGTAATTCAGGTTTGCTCTTTTACTCGGCGTTAGATGTATATGCTGACTTATCATACGAAAATCAATTACCTCTTGAATAACTTGTTTTGTATCACGCATTTTACCATGAGAATTATATGCTTCTTAATTACTTAGTCTAACCTTGCATTGTCTCAGGAACTGTTAATGAGAACGCAATTGAAAATTATTGTTCCGTGTATTTTCTAATTTTTTGATAATTTTTTTCCAATTTCTTTCCAGAATAAAAAGCTGGATGTATCTATTCTTAATGGATTTTGTCGCGTTTTTTACAGAGCTGTAGAATAAACGTTGAATTATTTCAGTAATTTAACTTTAAATAATTATAAATCTCATAAATCAACTAAGAGAATATTAGACGGAAATAGAGCCAAAAGAATTGTAACACTGGACGATACATTGTTCTGTTTTGATACCTTCGATGTTCGGTTCAATTAAGTGTTTATTGATAAAGTCCGCGTGCTCGAATAGCAGAGGCATCGCGTCTTTATAATTTCCCTGGTACATTTTCGCGATGGCACTCAATCTCTTTTGAATTGATTTACAAAATTGCTTCTCGATTCTCTTTAAATCAACAATTTTCTCGCATTTAGCACACCGCTGATTCGTTGCATCTATCGAGAGATCTATCGGTTCCGAACACGCCGTGCACTTATAATTCATTATTTCCTGTAGCGGAAATTTCCAGTTCTGTTTGCAGGCATCGCATCCGCATAGGAATCGATATTTCTTCCACAAGAATTCACGTCTGTTCAATTTGCTCTCGCTGAGAAAATGAGGTCCATAACAATCGAATATCTCGCATCCTTTGCCAATGAAACGCAGAGCTCTAACCACGACTATTCCTGTAAAGTGAGAATTATTAAAAACTTAGTTCATCTCTTTGTTGTCTTCATAAATTTGTACAATTTGTTCGCTGATTGGATCGTTTACCATTCGGATAAGAGTGGCGAACCATGTTGGGATAACAACTGTGGTTCACGAGACTGACCGTGCTGTAAATCGCAGCACCGATGTTCCTGGGCTCCCAGACGCGCGTTGTCTCGTCGTGGACATTCTCGATAATCTCGTATGCATTACAGTTAATCGCTTGCAAATGATGCAACATAGCGACAGCTAACACAATGAATGTTTCCGTTGTGCAAATGATGTCTAATTTGTTCAGTACCAAGATCAAGCATTTTGTAAGAAAAATCGCCTCAACAGTACGAATAAGATTTACGTGAGGTTCCACATCAGCGCAATGAGTCTCTAATTGAAACACCGTTCGATAATCGAGAGGACTGTATGTCCTTTTTGATCCCAAGTCCGCGCACTCCTTGCTAATATCGTTATCTTTATCTTTTGCGTTACTATTAACATGATATCGTAAGAAATCAGGATTCAAAACGCACGTCAGTTCTGTTCTGTTCCGTAACGATAGCGCTTGTATAACCGTTGTGCGATAAGCTAACAGAAGATAAGACGATTGTTGTCGTTCATTGTTCAACGAATTTTTGAAGAAGTAATTAAATACCGAACACTCATATTGGTGATACGTTTCCCATGCTTCCTTGCGACACACCTCTGTGCAAAAGGCCACCTGGAGAACGCGAGACAAGATTATATCGAAAAATCTGTAGCGTACAAATTGCAGGAAGACACGAAAAGGAAAAGAAATAAATTAATATGGAAATTCTAATAGGCGAAGTTATGAATAATTACATCTGGCGCTATATACATGACGCGTAGCATGCGCGAATATAAATCATGCGCTCTACTAACTGTTTGACAATTGCGGCATGGGATTCTAACGCTGTCTTCTAATTTAAGTGTGGCATGGCAATGCAAACAATTCCTGTCGAGAGCTGATGCGTCCGTGCTAAAGGAAAACGGCCGATCGACAATAAGTACAGTCCCCGGTCTGATGTCTCTTGTAGCCACGAGGTGTCGACCCCTGGCCTCATCGACTTGCAACTCAACGCTGTCTGGGCAGCTTACAAGACAGCTATGCGGTTTGCCGTCGATGGTGGGCGATGTGCCACTGGAAGAAGAACGGGAAGAGGAAGAAGAGGAGGAGGACGTCCTTCTATGGATGCCGCGTTTCCTAGAAGATAAGGCTTCCAATTTTCGGAAGCATTCTCGCTCTAATTGAAGGCATTCCTTCCTACGCTGTACGAAGTATTTAACGTTCTCCGCAGAGTCGTCATAGAAATTCGCAGGAAGTGCCAGCATGCACTCGCAGTCTCGCAGGCAGCTCGCGTAAACGCGCAGACTGTAGAAGCGCCTAGCGCGCTCGCAGATGGCATCTAGAAACACTCTACTGTTTGCACTGGCCGCAAACAGTGCTTGCGTGAGAATATTACAGGTTCTAATCTCTGCGTGCTCATCCCTGGACTCTATTGCCGCCCCAACCGACTTCTCGTATAGCTGCGCGGCCTGCGCGTCATTCTTACCCTCGTACGAGTCGCCCGGTTTCAAGTTTGCCACATAGGACATTTCCATAAGCATCCTGACCATTCCTTGTCTATCACCTGATGCGGATAGTCTCGCAAATTGAGTCGTTAGCGATTCCTCTTGCGAGACAGTGTCGTGCACAACACGACGAAATTCGTCAAGCAAAATGTTTCTGAAACAAAACAGGCGAATGATCCAAATATTTTTTTTAATACTCCACTGTAAAATATTTTTAAAATGAGACTTTTTTACAACGCAATAAATATAAGTTCTTAATTCATTTTAAACAATCAACACTGTGAAGGTAATGTATAAAAACAAAAACAAAAAAGATAACAGTGTCCATTTATGTCATACATTCGATCCAAAAAGAACAATTGTCTTTGCAGAAGCCAGAGTTTAATTTTGAGAATGAAATACAACGAAAATAATAATCTTCAGGGATTTAATATTCAATAAATTGATGTATTATGCGCATCATGTATAAAACGAAGTGCACTCGTTATTTATTCGGGAAACTTGTCGAAAAACATACGAAATACTTGAAGTTTTTCTATGCATTAAATATTTTAAATTTCATTCATTGCGAACGCGTTTGTGTGAGTTAATGTATATAAATAAAATAGTATATAAAGCATGACGTTTCTGAAAATATGCGGATCAGTCGAACATGCGACGGCGATTCCAATTTTATCACAAATAAGTCGCGAGCCACAAACGTGTTTCTATCATTTATCTAAATTTAACACACTGTAAATTTAATCGCAGACAGAAATAGAGTATGAGCGAGGAGAGCCCGTAGGGTCACGGAAGCGAACATTCCATTCGCAGAATTTGTCATTAGGCGAAGAACCGACCCGGTTTTGCAACAAATAACTTTAAACGAGAGACCAGATTTAGACGTTGATGGATTTTCTCTATCTCGATAGCCCGGGATCGAAAAGAAGCTTACCCTTGTTTCGTCAGAGACATTCTTGCTAATTATTATTGATTTATGATTGATCGATTATGTATATTTAATACGAAACATCCGCGGGCTCTACTTCCTCGTTGCACAAACGAACGTGAATGCGACGGATTCTAAAATTAGGCCGACGATGTATTCGTCTGCTCTTACGAAATGCACTCGATGATTCCATTTATATAAAATCAATCTCGCCCTTTCGCGCGTCGATAGAAACGTGCAAATTGTTGGAACGATAATAGAGATAATAAATAATACCTAATGTCTCATTTTTATAATGTATATTATCATAATAACAACTGCAGCGATTTTTGATAAAAATAGAAACGTAGTCGATACAGACATATGTATATGGTAGACTACATGTATATGCTTGCAATTTTTTTTTGCAATTATTTCGCAATATCAAAATATAATTTTTAATAATAACTGAAGTAAATTTAAATTGGAGACTTAAATTTATTTCAATTGTTATTAAAGTAGGCGATCGTGTAATCAAACTTATCCTAGGTAATACTTGTAATTTTATTTATAATATTAAATAGAAATAGAATTTTTGTTGTTTAATATATGGAAAAAATTAGATAAAGAATAATGAATGATATATTCATAATATACGTATAATTTAAATACTGATTTAAATATTTAAAGCAAAATATTTTCTGTATAACTATACATGTAATTCTATACAATTGTACATATAATTCATCTCTAATTTTATTTTTTATTTTTAAAAAATTCTATTCACATCAATAAAATGGTATCACCTAAAAGTTAATTGGCAAAAAGTAATTCATCCGACTAAATTACAACAAAATTTCTAACTATACGATTATAGTTTCTAATTTTTTACACACATTTTTTCACATGTCTCAATGAAAAAATTAATATTTCCATTTGAAAATATTGCAATTATTGTTGCATAAATTAAGTGAGTTGTCTTAATCGTTGATTTAAGTTAATTGGTTTTTTTATCAAAATTTCCATTAAAACACGCGTAATTGCGTTCACTTGTTTTACTTGCCCCTTCTGCACTCAAGTGATATCTTTGTTCCTTCTCTTTTCAACGGCAACATATCGTTCCATTTTGGGTGCAAAGAGTGCCAAAAAAGTGCAATACAGGTAAGATTATTGAATTTTCACTATGGTTTCCCACCCCTGCCACAGAAAAAAATCTCTAGCGGTTACTAGAGTACGAGCAGTCGTCACATGACAGCGACGGGTGTGCGTGATCTTTTCGTGAGTCTCTCAATGTGAGAATCTAAAATTTGTTGGACAAAAAAACGAAAGGACTACCGGGCTACCTTGGCTTCTCCCCCGGAGTGTCGGCTGTGCTTGAAGACCGCGGAATATTACATATTACTTTGCTCGAAAGCAAAGTTTATTGTTGTAACGATGAGGTATATTCTGGGTAACACATTCGCGATCACCGCCTCGGCGACGATTCTTATTTTGGGTATGCTTCACATTTATATTATAGTAATATAACACATTAGAGCTTCTTATGCGTTCGATATTTTGCGAAATATTCATATATGATTACTAATCTAACAATCTCGTGAAATGCATTTATGTTACTGAATACTTTTCGAGTTGCATAAAAGAGTTCATATATATATATATATATATATATACATTTCTTTAATATAATATATTTTGCATTTATATATTTATATATTGTATTTGTATTGTGTATTTATAATAGTATATAA